AGTTCTTACACTGACTAAATTAGGGACGGCTAGCGCATATACGCCCTCGTGTAGTCTTTTGGCGACGAATTACAAAACAAACAAACTAAACTATGGCGAAGGGAAATGTTTTCTTTATTATTGCTTTTAAACAAACGTACAATATTCGCCTTTGATCATACAGGACGAACAAATATATGTTTTAAAATTGGTGAAGCATATTTACCCCCCCCCAACAAAAAACGCACTAATTCAAAAATTCTTACCTGCACGGTGAAAAAAGTTTGCTTTGTCATTCGTGTAATGTGAGGTCGGTGTGTAATGTGGATGGATAATTGTGGTATGAATACAATGAAATTCAACATTTGTTTGTTACCTTAAATTATTTCATATATATCTCAAGTTTTATGCTCAAGCATCTAACTTTCACTTTACTGAATGGTTAATACCACAGGTTCTCAATGTGTAGTCGATTCACTCGTGGTTCGGAAAAATCCCTCTAGGTGGTTCGTAGAAATGATGCATAATTACGAAAGGAAGCAGCAACATATATCAGGTGGTCCGCGAACCACAAATTTAGACAAAACTCTGTTGTTTGTTTTTCATGCAGTACCCAGATTTATAAAATTACTTTTTAGGTCTGACCAATAAAATTAGTTCACTTTAAGATCAAAAGTTTTGAATAGTTTCTGTTGCTTTATTTGAGTTTCTAGTTTTAAGTATATCAAAAGCAGAATACAGGCACTGAGACGCCATCATTGTACAAAAACTCTGTATCAAAAAACTCATTTTTTATAAATGAGTTATTCAGTCCAAGTAAACTTATGACAGTGTACTGGCTCTCCTTTTCAAATCTACCTCGAGGCAGTCACGTGCTCCTGACGGGCAGGACGAGAAATGACAGTGCTACGATTCCTGTAACACTGCTCTACTCTACTAGTCTAGTGCTCCGTCTAACAATGTATTGTGACACTGAAAATGCACGGTTTTGATACCTGTACCATTCGTCCATTTTGTCAGACAATATGTCGTGAGAAGAACGGTTAAAATAAAAAAGGTAAAACAGATTTCACCAAAGGAAAAAAAAAATACGTAAAGGTCGACTACACGGCACCATCCCATACTCATGCATGAACGAAAAAACTCCCTTGCAAAAGCAAAACGTGTAGTGTAGAGTGTAGACGATAGCGTGGTTTGTACTCGCTTTAGTGCTGCATGTTTGAAATCTGCCTGTAGAGGTCGTTGTCTGGCCAGGTATGTGACACGTGGGTCATTTAAGCTTCTGAGCGTTCCTCTGAGGATCTTAGCTTCATCCAAGATGGCCTTCCGTTTAAAGCCATGATGGCAACTGATAATCGTAACACCAAAATACATAAAAACACAGAAAAGCAATAGAAACTCTTGCTCTGAGATCACAAAATAATAATTTAATACGATCAAACTTATTTGGTCTTCTATACACTGAATACAGATGTTTTTCAAGAGCTAACTTCCAACACGATCATAGCTTGCATCTTAAAGAAACTTTTTTTGTCAATGGTTTATGCACTTTTTAACTTTTTAATGTAAAGGTAATCTGAAATATATGTTTTGTCGTTATATTTCGAAGATTCTAATCTTACCAAGTTTTAAACGAGAAAGAGGATATCATGATCATGACTGTTATGTTGTCTCTTTTTTATACTATTCCTATATATATTTTCAGCTACATACAGACTGCTTAACAGTTCAATTTCTCTGTTTCATAATATCCAAAATAATATCATACGTGCAATATAACAATAAGTTTTATAGTTCGCATTTATTCATTAGTTATAAATTTTATTATAAAACATACGATCTTTACTTAGAAGCAGCACTGAGCTAACTCGTAGATAAGCGCTTGATTAATAAATTACCAGTTACTTTGAGAAAATGAAAAAAGAAAATGCATGTTAATTCCTTTAGATTCAGAAAATAACATCTAATCCTTGAAGCAAGTAGGTAGGTAAAACCTTTATAAAATCCGAAAGTGTGGTCTTAATACTCACACGATTAATATCGTCGTATAACTTCCTTGCTGTCGCCGGAAAAAGAAACCAAGTGACTTTCTTTTGTGCTTGCTCTACACGATCTGATATACACGTGTGTTTCACAAGAAGTTCCCAGGAAGATCGGGAAACAGACTACTGGCGTGTAGAGAATCAAGTTTCCATCGTCAGAAAAAACGCTGGTTGAACAATCTAACAATTTGCTTGGGTATACTTCGCCAACATAATGATCGTTTCACTTAGTTTTGTATGAGTATTTTTGTTCCAGACGTTAACTGTTTTACAGATATGCTTGTGTTTGTATCGAAAAATTGCGTTTTTTTTTCTCCTAATGTTTTCTGCATAGTTATATTGGTAAGTTTTTATATCTTTAGAACTACGAGTCGTATATATCTTACAGTTCGCTTCTCTTAATTAAATGAACTCAAATGAATCACTAAAAACTGTATTTTGTTTGTCTTGGATAAATGTTAACATTGTCCTAGTTTGTCCGAATATTTACCTTGA